AGAAGAGGAGAAATGTTAAATTTAAAAGTAAACAAAAATGGACGCTAGCAAGAGTTTTTTAAAACTATTTTTAATAAAATTTTAAGTAAAAATATATTTAAAGTGCTTAATATGTATAGTGATCACGGAGGCACAGAGAAGAAACTAAACTTTTCCTTGAGTTGTGAGAATAACAAGCACAACAAATTTAACGGCTAATAATCTGATGTTTGTCTTTGTAAACAGGGTGATTAAAACGAGCTTTAATCGATTTTACATATATTAAATGGAAATGTACTCTTATGCCTTGCCGTACGCATATGTTTACACATCAAACTTCATGAGTACCATGAGAATATCCCTAATCTGTGGTTCTTCATTTGTCGCTAAGTTTACGTTAAACTCATGAATACATATAACATAGCATCTTTTGTTTGCAAAATAGGAAGCTAAATTATTTTGTCCGGAATTTCCTCTTACTCTCGTCTTCTCTTTGTACAACCTTGTATTACTTATATCATCCATACGTATTTTCATTAGTTATTAACGGACCCATGTTGATTTAATAATTTTTAAATTTTCACCTTGCTTTTAATCTTTAGACTAAAACCATGCTACGAATATCAAAACCCCTTGCAACAAATGAATTCATCCATACACATCATCCATACACATGTATGTACATACAATTTTAGGTATGGCTGAGTTCCAAAAAGTCAGTTGCAAAGCAACTGTACAAAGTCACGCATTCCTAAATGCAAATGTGTAATTTTTGACGATGTGGCATGTCCCAAAATGTATCGTAAAAGTTATCGATGCGTATACAGAAAGCAAACTGCGCATCGCTAAGCTAATTGATACTTTGATGATATTTCGAAGTAAACAATGGCCGATGTCGAAGGGTAAGATTACATTTTTCTACCTTAATTCAGTGCTATATTGAATATTTAAAATATTCAATATATATGGTTGCAATGTGTCGCAACTCTGCACATACAAACAGTTTGAATACAGCAGTATAACAGTTTCCAAACATTGTATTGATACGTTTTTTGTTTGTGAAGTCAGCATATGTATACATAAAGATACATAGTCGTATGCATGCACAGAGTTTGCATAATCGGAAGTAAAATTTATTTTTACGGCATTTCCTCTTACTCTGAATATGCCTAAATCTATGCAACCATTTGCATTAGCAGGTAAACACAGAGTGCTTCTAATGAAATTAAAAATTTTCTGCTGCAATACACATGGTATGTTCTTCGAAATTTTCTGCTGGGCTATGCGTTACAGCTTCGCAAATTTTACCCCTACCGAAACCAAAGATGTATGCACATCAAAAGTATTTAGAGGTCGCTGGTATGTCCTTCGAAATTTTCTGCTGGCCTATGCGTTACAGCTTCGCAAATTTTACCCCTACCGAAGCAAAAGATATATGCACATCAAAAGTATTTAGAGGTCGCTCAGAGAGCTCAAAGTGTTCCATGTATTTTACATAGAAAAACCACTTTTCATAGAAATGGCATAGAATTCTTGGAAATCAATATTTTCAATCGGAAAACTCTTATTCTCTTCAGGAGGCTTCCAATAACAACACCCAGTTGTTAATTTAGCCATTTTTTAATACTAAATAATTTTTATTTATACCCCCTTTGCATTTTTTTCTGAGGGTTTTGGCGGTTTTGGTAAATATGCTTGCAAATATGCTTTATGCTTGCTTTTAAGTACAGTTTAATGTTTTGTTATACCCGAGCGCACTTGGGCACAAGGGTATTATAACTTCGATTGCATAACAGTTGCTTGTAACAGCCCAAACGAATCGAGATAGATACATATATACAAATGTATACATAAAAGCTCAGAATGAAAAGAGAAATCGACTAAGCCATGTCTGTCCTTCCGTCAGTAACCCGAGCAAAAATTGGTATTTGTCAACGAAATTTGGTAAGTAGGTTGCCCTTTATCCAAGGTATGTTGGGATTGAAAATGGGCGAAATCGGGCAATAACCACGCCCACCTCCCATAAAACGGTGTTTTCGATATATGCAAAAACTAAGATATTTCCGCAAATACTGGATCCAAATTGTTGAAAGTTGGTATTTGAATAGTATTTGAAGTAGAATTTCGGCATAAAATAAGACAGTTATACAATTTTTGGAAAATGGGCGTGGCCCCGCCCACTTATGATTAAATGCTGTATCTCTGTAGTCCCTTTACCAATCCTTACCAAACTCGGTGAGAACATTGCTTAGGGACTCACTAAGAAACTCAGACAATAACCACGCCCACCTCCCATACAACGGTAACTTACAGTAACTATTTAAGCTAATTTACTCAAAATCGACATATGCAATGACCATTTAGCTGAAAACGATTTTTAGTAAAATTTTTGGAAAATGGGCGTGGCACCGCCCACTTACGCCTACATATGTTTATCTCGGTACCTGGTTTATCAATTTCTACCAAACTCGACACATTTAGCAACCTTGGCGCAAAGAAGCAATATGTTGAAAATTTATGAGATCGGACTAAAATATTTGCCAGTTACCATAAAACGGTAAATTTCAGAAATACGAAAACTCCGATTTTTCAATAACTGAAGACGCCAACAATCTTTTAACAAGACACAAGATTATTGATTTTTGTTAAATGGGCTTTGCACCACCCACTTATGACTACAGAAGTATATATCGATAACCGCCTTACCGATTTCCACCAGATTTGGTCCAATTATTTCAATATATCATAGCATATTATTGAAACTATTTGACATTGGGAAAAATAATCTTCCTTAGCATGCACTTTACTGAGAGGTGGAAAAGCGATATTTAATACGTGCACCGGATACATGTATAAAGTTAGGTTTCGCCTGAGCTTATACTTCTTTACTTGTTTTACCCTATGTTATGTCCGAGATCACTGCCTAGATGCCAGTTAAGGTCCCATGAAAACCCATTCAGTAGTTTCGGAGATTAGTGATTTCAAACAGACAAAAATTATAAAAATGCCCCAAGTCTATTCTATTATACTCCCTGCATCACCTTCGGTATTTTTTTTTAAAGAAATTTTAAACGTACAGTCATGACTTTTTTAAAGTTTTATTATAGTTTAGTTAAAAAAAAATTACTTAAAAAACATTCCAACTACAGTGAAACCCGCTTGAGTACCCCCGCTTAAGTACCTAACCCGCTTAATTTCCCAACATTTTTGAGCACCGTGAATTTTTTAATGTATTCTGAAGAAAATCCCCCTTTTAAGTACCTCCCCGCTTATGTACCCAACCCGCCTAAGTACCTACATTTTTCGTACCCCATTTACCATTTTACTTATAATTTCCCCCTTTTAATTGCTTTTTTTTAATTTCTTCAAAAATTTGCATATTTTCAAATTCAGTGGCAGGGCTACACACCCTCGGCAAAAAATTCTAAAAATCAATGGTAATTCTTCGCCACTTGAAACTTGGACATTATTAAAATTTTAAGCTTATATTTTAAGTTTCTACGGTATTTGTTAGGGAATGAATTTTTCTAATTGAAAAATTTTAAAAATTAAAAAATAAACATAAGTGGCAAACAATAGCATTTTGAATTTGGTCCAAAATGATATGCCCTGTTTGTGTTCATGTATAAATATGTATAATCAATGACTTTTCAATTTAATTCTTGTGAAAATGACATTGCTTTATCTGTTTTTTTTTTTTTAATAAAGTTTTCCTTTATGTGTTTACTTGTTTAAATAATGCTACGATCTTTGTTTTAAATTACGTATACTTCATTAAATGTTCATGCTTTATTCAAGGACTTAATTATGTAAGTTAACAAGAAGATGTAACTACATCACAAATTATGTTCGCTTAAGTACCCGTATCGAGGTACTTAAACAGGTTCTTTTAAGTAATCAACCCGCCTAAGTACCTCAAAAACCTGACATTTTTCGTAAGGTACTTAAGCGGGTTTTACTGTATTTAACAAATTTCACCATACACTCGAAGCTATTTTAACAGTACCAGCATTAATCTGTGAAACAGCCATTTTGACAAGAAATCTGTAAAGCCTGAGAGAAGTTCAAAATTTGGCATCTTTCACAGCTTGTTTTGAAGCAGCTTTCCCATGTATATATATTTATTAATAGCACTAAGGTCTTCTCAAGGCTTAACAAGGTAGAAGTGATTTCGACATTTCTCTCTTTTGAACTGCGACTAAAATGTAAATTCTTAACCCTATGCTATTAAAAATTTCTATTTTTTTAATATAAATTTTCAATTGTGAGCTGTGCGCCTGATTTTAAATACATAATAAAATGAAACGGAACTACGGGCGGTTTGTTGTGTTTGACAAGAGCCAGGACAACAAACTTGTCCGTTATTTTAAAACTCCGAAGTATCAATACTTCATTACGAGACTCTTCACGTGTGCGCGAAGACCATTTTAGTGCCAATGACTTTATTTGTTGCCCATCGCAGCCGGGTATTTCTAAGCGGACGCGTTTGTTCCCAGGTGCAGGAATTATTATACCGAATGTGCAGAGAAAATCTTCCACTCATATACATGGACAGACCAAATTTCAAATGGTGGTCAAATAAAACCTAAACCAGAATTCCTTGTTGACATAAAGAAACTGAAATTAACTTTTAATAAATTTAATGGAAAGGAAATTTCGAATTGCAAAAATTTAATAGCCGAATTATTGGAGTTAAGTTTTTTAAATGTCTAATATACTTTAAAATTAAGTATTTAAATAAAAAAAATAAATGCTACTAACAGCACGAAAATTGCCAAAATGGGTTTATAAATGAGTGTGTTTCACTTATTGTTTACATTTTTTGACATTACAGTCAGCTATGAGAGAGCTCGACTGAATTGTCACTTCTACCTTGTTGAATATGCCTTGAGTCTTTTTTCCTGGAAAAACTTTGTTTCCCTCTATCTTTAGTTACAGTAAATCGATACAATAAAGTATAAAATTCAGTGTATGTGTTTCACTGAAAAAAATAAACGTTTTCACTTAATGTTGAATAAACCTTACCGAATATTTTTGTGGCTTGCAGAATCCACCTTAAATTTGCGTGGCAGATGATTGAGATGCAATTCAGCGGCCGCTGCAAAATGTCGATAACTCTTATGCATGTGATGCGTAAGTATTGGATTCATGCCCATTAATTTGATATCTTCGGATATAGGTGTGGAAATCGCCGTATGCTGCGAAAATTTTATATTTTTATTTTCATATTTTTAAAATACGTAAGGTTAATCAGTCTGTGGACATACCTGTAAATTTAGTAGGTAGTCGTTATCTCCACATGACGGTGAAATCGGCTGAGAATCATGGCTCGTGCTCCTGTATGCATATTTATTTAAACAAAGTCAGTATTTTTTTAAAATTACATTTCAGTTTCAAAACGACGTTAAAAATTTTTTATAAAATTAAAAGATGATAGTTAAAGCATATTTATGTGATATTTAGAAGAAAAAATGTCTGTCAAAATGTTTGGAAAAGAAATAACCATTATGTGAGTAGAAAAAAAGTGCATTCTCTCAAGTTGTGTGTAAAAATTCTAGTGCATTATTAACCCGGCGCCGTAAAAATAGTTACGAGGCCGATGATACGATTGATCTTTAAGTTAAACTAAAAAAAAAAGTAATTGAACTGCCTGATTTATTGTTTATTATGTGATAAATAGTAAAAAACAGATATACTATGTAAATTAATCTTTTATTCACTTTTGTTTATAACATGCAAGATGAGCTATTACAAAATTTTACTTTCGTAATGCTGATGATGACGGTTGTTGCCTATTCGGTTTGCCCGTCAATCATTGTTGTCAATCTCAACTTACGGTAGACCCAAGGAACGTGCAGTTTTTATGGGGTCTGACCAAAAGGATAGGGGTGTAATGGAGTGGGATTGAGCTGGCATGTGAGGAGATGGTTGGCGTCGTCTGGGTAATCTCCACATGCCGGACACTCATTGGGGATGTTGGGGTCGGGTCTGGACAGGTAGTTGTTAAGACGGCTGGAATATTCAGACCGTAGCTGGGCCAAAGTAACGCGGGTCTCCCTTGGCAGTTGAAGCTCTGGTGGTGATTGGGCTCCGAATACAGCATTCATGGGTCGGAAGTCTTTAGCTTCGTCCACAGCGTCCACCTAGTCACCGGCGACCAAACAAGCGTCGCATGGTTCAGAAACGGCCGGCCAATTGCCTTGTATGTTGCCAGCCAATTGCCTTTTTCTTAAGTGCTGCCGGCAAACGACTTTATGAAACTTGTGTTAGTTGTTGTTGTTTCCGACAGGGTGGGCGTATGATGTATTTTGGAACGAATTTCCGTCATCCCTTGTCAGATTTGGTTTGGGGACAAACCGGTTTCGGCGTTATGCCATCTTCAGTGTAATTTTTCGTTCTGGAAAATTTTTTTGGTTGCTCGTATTTATACTCCTTTTTAACTACCTCTTTCTTTTGTTAGGTACGTCTTCTTACTTTTGCAATATTTGCGGTGCTGAATAGGTAGATGCATTTTTTTGGCTTGTTTTTGCTGGCAGGTAGAAGTCAGTGATTTTTACCTTCTTTGTTTTTATAGTTAGTGTATTCCCTTCCATGTCTATCCTTCATATTTTGTTGTTGTTATTTTTCTTCTCGTACAGTAGTCTTAGAGGTTCAAACAGTGCGTCCGATACAGTATTTATTTGCTCATTTATTATTTGCCCTTTGAAGGTCTTCTGATTATGTATTTCCATGTGTTCTAATATATTCAATCTTTGTCGTATATGTTCTAATGTTAAGTTCTGTTGTTTATCCAATCTTCATTGGTGCGCATTTATTTTTGATCATGTGATTTGCGAAGTTCAATTCTGTTGTAGCCTCTGGTTTACGTTTTTTCTTATTATAATCCCTTATGTATTCTCGATACCTTGTTCTTATGTTTCGTCCTGTTTGTCCTATGTAGCTGTATCGGCACTCGCAGGTTAACTTGTAAACGCCCTGTTTATCTAACGGGTCTTCCTCGCTTATTTTCTCTTACAATATTCCTCCCACAGTGTTCCTTGTTTTAAATGATGTCTGAATGTCGTACATATGAAAGAATTTGGCAAGTTTATACGATGTCTTTCCCGTGTAAGTTAGAACTGCCCAAGTTTTTTTATTGTTCTCATCTTTGCTGCCCTTTTTTGATTTTGTGGCCTTTCTTAACTTTTCAACCAGGCCTCTTTTATATCCATTATTTTGCGCAATGGCATATATTGTATTCAGTCCATTCTTGTAGTCTTCTTCCGTTAGAGGGGTCGTTTCAAGCCTCGTTATTAGTTGTCTATGTGCTGCATTTTTGTGTTGCTGTGGATGGTTCGAGCTGTTGTATATTATTATATCTGTGGCTGTTGGTTTTCTGTATATTTCGAACTGTATCTTGCGCGTGGTATTGCTTACTTTAATTGTTAAATCCAGATTGAAGCCTGATCGCCTTTTATCAGGTGGTGAAGAAGGTCGCGGTTGATTTCCTTCCAGTTAAGAAGCTAGGAAATCAGAAGAGATAGCCGTTTTCTTCTGAACAGAGGTCATCAATGTAGTTCCCAGGTCCGAATTTCGAGCAGTCATCAGCGTATGAGACTAGGGAAATACCCTCCGGTGGCTGAAAGAGCTTCGAAATGTAGAAGTTAAACAGTAATGGGGAAAGGACACCACCCCATATAACCCCCTGATTAATTCTTCTAAGTTTTGAGCTTTGATCTCGGAAGATTTCTGACGACTGTCGACCACTCATATAATTCGACGACCACCGTTTCAGTCCTGTTAAATGACAAACGGCGTCAAACGCCTTTGACAAGGTCAACGCTACTGGGACTATTCTCTCACAGAGGCGGTTGCGGTTTAGGCAACGAGTTATCTGGGTATTTATGAAGTTAAATGCTATTGCTGTGCTTTGCCCTTTACGGAAATCATGCTGATGCTTCTCTGGAGTCAGGTAGTGTGTAAAGCACGGAAATATCAGGGCCTCGATTGTCTTCGCGGCCGAGGAAAAGAGCGTTATTGGGCGATACGATTCCCGTTTGTTGGCTGGTAGGACCACTGGCCACGACTTAAACACATCGGAATTATTGAGAGTGGCCATTGACAAGTTGAGTTCTTTGGTGAAATATACTACTCCCGCGGGACCAAATTTTTCAGCATCAGCATACAAATTCGGTCGGGTCCAATGGTTTTTTCTGCTTATGCTAAATTGCCAGTTGCCGAATCTCTAAATTAAGGTCATTTAAGCGAGGATCCTCGGGATCAACCTGGCGTAGATGGTCACGCTTATTTGTTAGAACAGCCGCTTCTGCCGGGAAGTTTGGGCGGACTTACGCGATAAGTCCGGATGGACCCGCTGCGGCAGTGACCAACTTCCGGAACTGGCGTTCGCCAGCATATATGTCTGTAGGTAAAGGAAGGGTTGCGAAGCTGCTCTCGGTAACACCCGCCAAGCTGTCCGAATCGACTTTGCTAAAGTTGATGTAGGTAGGAGATCCGCGGGGGCTAAGCCGTTAGGCTTATTGATCGAGATGAGTATGATTATGCTACTTGTCAGACCTTCGAACTGCTGCAGCTGATTATGGGCAGTAGCTCGTTTGTCCAACAGTTCTCTACCAAGACGAATTCATATATGAATTCGACGCTTTGTTCTCTACTGCTAATGAGTGGTAGAGAACTACGTATATTCTCTACCAGTAGGAAATAATTGGTAAAGAAAAGTTACAGAAACGAGCTACCATCGTCGTTAATGGTGTAGAATGTCGAATCGTCTATCGGCTCATTCAATAGGTTTTCTCTACGATCATTTACCAGGCTTGAGTGCGATTTTAAGTCACCTACTACCGTTATGTTTGCACCTCTCAGTAGCACCGGGGTAGCAGGTGACAGGGGGTATATATACTTTAAATATTTCGAGCTCGACATCGCCTGACATTCTAGGGTGGTGTCCCTGTGGTCGATGTATTCTTCGATTAGACGATAGTACCGGTGTGGTGTAGGATGATTGTTGCGCCCGCCACGGTTACAGTAGCTGCGTGGTAGCGTATGGCTGTAGTTTTTGCGTTAGTGATTGCGGCTGCGGTGATCTGCAACATGAGGCGCGGTAGCTTGTTGTCCATTCGCGTGTGGTGCGCAGGTCAGAGCATAGGCGGAAGTGGCACCAGCTAAGGCATGAGTTGCATTTGACAGATGCCACATTCCAGTATACTCTGTTCTAACACACGGCGAAGATTGTGTGGGCAACCAAGAGCTGGTGGTTGGCATTCACACATGAATTCGAGCAGGTGGTAGGGTGGTTTGAGGGGTGGGCGTGTGGGAGGTTAAGTGCTGTTCGAAGGGGGCTTCTTGGAGCCGTGCAGACTCTTTGGGTGGTAGTTCACACGTGCGTGTTCCGCGTGCTGGTAGCTGTGGAGGCGAGTGGTCCCGTTTGGTGCGAGAAACAGGGGGAAGGGGGGGGAGGGGGTGGCACAAAGCTTGTGGACCATTCTCTGCATTCTTAAGTGATTCCATCCGTTACCGAAGTGGAGTTTGGATGGAGTCGATTCTGTCAAGCACAGCAGAAGTAGATTTCTGGTCTGGGTTTGGACTCAATGCCTGCTTGAGAGGTAGGATGCGGAGGTATTGCTCCATGGACGAAAACTGATTGAGGCAGCTCGCCGATCTCATCGACTTTAGTTCGCTGAAACAACAGCTTGGTCGGGTTAAACTGAAGCTTTTCCGGTACGTAGAACTAGCTGTCGTGGGATGACGCTGGTCACAGGTACTTGTTTTTATTTCATGCACATGTATCTAGCTGCGCATGAATGAGTAGGAGAAGGGGGGTTGTGTCTAGTGCTATCTAAACGATCGAATAAATAATATGTAAAAATACCGAGATATAGCTGTTAAAAATCAATCGAGTTTAGCCAGTTTGACTCATCGTCAATGGCGCCGGGTTCAGTGGAAATAAAAGCCTATCATTTTGTTGGAAAACATGTAGGAAAATATTAACTAATTGATATCGAACAAGCTTTAATTCCAAAAGAAAAGATTTATTTAGTAAAAATTTAAAATTAAAGAATAATTATTTTAAGTGGAGGAAATTTTAATAAATCGGTTTGTAACGAGAATTTTTTATATATGTATATGTATGTAGTATAGAAAATTGTACTTACTTATTTAAAATAGAATTTCTAAGATTAATACCAAACTAAATTGTTGCATACATCATGGAAAAATTGGCTTGTACCTTACTGTTTAAAGCTTAGTTTCCAGTTCTTAAGAAAACGGTAAAGAAAAAATTGCCATTATTTATTGTTATATTGTGTGACCAAGGAATTTTGACATCTGAGATTCCACAG